CCTTTCTCGGATCTCTTAGACATAGTCTGCGGACCCTAGGTTGAAATCCACTTCCCTGAGGGCCCAGTCTTTCCTTTGTGCCTTTTTACCAGGACGACGGGTAAAACATTAAAAGCAGGGATTTGGTTTCAAGGCACTGTAGAGTTTCCTGTGTTTCAGTGCAGTGACTGTCACATGGATCATGCAGCTGGTAACTCCACGTACATGGGGCATAGGCAGGAGGGAGCGTTTGCCATACCCTTGGAGGTAGAATGTCCCTGTAGATGGGGTGCAGCTGGCAAATGCCGCAAGATTTATCAGTTCATCATTACAAGTCGCAGTCAGATCTGGTTAATCTGAGCTCTGCTCATCTGGGACTGTGGAAGATTTACATGGTAACGGATCTCACAGTACCCATGGCAATTGGGGCACCCGCTAGCGCCTCCATAGTGAAGGCTGTGGCAGTGTTTCCATCAACCTCTGCTTTTATGGATTTGCTACTCAGCTGTAGAAACGGTTCATGGAGAAGAAATTTGACATGCAGGACCTTGTTCTGCGATCAGTTTTTTCTCTCCCACTTCTTTAAACAAAATAAAATATATTAACATTTCTTATATTTTATGCTGTACGATAAGGGAGGGAAAATAAGAAAGAGGGCAGTTTATTGCTTTTGGGTTCTTTTGTATTTTTAGTACTTAAATACAACTAAAATATAGAAAGAAATGTAACACTCCCTATTATAGGACTCATCCAAAACCCAGTGGGAGTCTTTAAATTGAGTTCCACAGCCTTTGGATCAGGCCCAAGGTGTAGTAGCTGAAACTGTCTTGGTATTATGAATGAGTTTGAAGCATCTGAAAGTCAGAAACCATTGCAGGTGTAGTAATTTTAATATGGTGTGTTGGATAATATACACATGTGCATAAATGCTGTTATGGTGCCACCAGGCTAAGAATTGTAATGTCAGTATTGTGATAGAGCCGTTACAGTCTTGGATGAAAAAGCACTTTATTTTTAATGCAGATTGGTGCGATAGATAGTAACAGTGCTTAGAGATGCCGCTAGGAGTCTGACAAATACAGTGCTGTGAATGAACATTGTTTAAATACATTCACATGAAACCATTGAATGACACCAGTTTCAGAGGGTTCCCACTTTGGACACCATCTCTGCTCCATGGATCGCAATATTCCCTGTGAGCGATTACTGACGGGTTACTTAGCGAATGCATCGGGGTGTGGTGAGAGGCTGGGCACACCTTAACCCACCTGGCTGGAAGCAACTAGTTTTCACTTTGCCCTTTTCCATGTGAGGGCAGCCGGTGTTTTTTAGTTCCTTTCTTTTTTTTGTGGTTCAGCTTTTCCTCCTTTTTAACATTCTGTTTTCAATAAATAATAATTAGAAAAAAAACTAAGTAATGGTGAAACCCAGCAGCCCAGCAACAGAAATGAAACCACAGAAAGCAAAGTTCAAATAATGAGCATCTCATTTTAAACCCACAAGCAGAGTCAGAGTTTTTGTTCAGAGTCTGGCCTAAAGTGCCCAGTTGAAACTGCAGGGATCTTAAATGGCGGAGGACTTAACTTATGTTGTTATCCAAGCTTGGCACATGAGTTAAGGCTGGATGTTTAGCCTTTTCTGTCCTTACCTTTGTGAGTTTATGTCTGTCCTGTAATGCTATTTGAATGTAGGTTTTTAGTGGCTTATCTTTGTTGAGAGGGAGCTTTTTTGTTCTTTTCTGAGTAAAAAATTAATATGCAAATTGATATGGATAAAATGCATTTGAAGATATAGTCAGTGTTTTGCCAGACATTATTTTATGACCATTTCCAGGCCCCATAGAAAGCCGTGTGTGTATCTTACATCGCTTTGGATTGATAGCTATCAGACCGATCTTGTTCTGGATGATTTGTTAAACTAAAATCAAAAATACAGTGGCGTGAAAATTATTGAATACTTTGGAACCCAATTACTACCGATCACAAGGGCTTAGTGCACCCAGAAAATGAAAAGCTGATTTTCTGTAATGTGAAGACTGCCAAAATACGAAAGAATACCAGATGTTATTTTAAAAAATACTAGTGCAGAATCCTTGGAAAAAGAGAGAGTATAAATGAACAGACATATGTGGACGTAACTAATATTCAGATTAACTGTAGAATTGAAAAGAAGGAATTTTGAACAATTTTAGCAGCTAACAACAAAAAGATACTTCATCTTTTCCACCCGGGCATAGTCAGAACCCTTATCAAATGAAGCAGTTTTGCTACATTTTCTGAAACAGCAGGGGAAAAAAATCCTATACATCAAAAAGATAATAAAGTTGAGATCCATATGTGTTTTTATTTATCAGTAACATATACCAGAGTTAAACCTTTGTAATTTGAGAGACATATTTAATCTGAAGGCTGAACAGTGATGTTATATGAACCTGGTAACAGGCATTTCCCCCCCTCCCTACCACTTTTCCTTAGTTCAATTCAGTTCTCATTTTTATTTTGTCTTTTGCAGGTCTTTGTCCCATCTCCGTTTAGTTTGTCTGTGTTTTAATATTTTGACACTCTGCTCCCACTTAATAAGAATTCTAGCCAGAAATGGTGCACATATTTCTTAAAGACCTTTTTCACAGTCCTTTTCGTTTGGCTCTAAAATTATGTATATGCAATTGGTAATTAAAGGTGCAATCTTTCTTCAATATAAACAATATTGCTCAATGTTAGATCATTAATGGGAACAGAAGCACTAAATAATTACCTTTTGCATTCTGACACACTGTTCACAGAAATTCACTCTCTCCCCAGCAATCTTTGTTCAGCACAGGGTTATGATTACATATTCACTATGGCATAGCATCTTTTCAGAAAATAAATTGGTAAATTAATTATGTAGCATTGTCTTCAAACTCCTTTTAAACTTAGATTAAGGGGGGGAAAGTAATTAATCGTTTTCAGAAGGTGTATTATGCCTAGAGTTTAGTTACCTTGTAGATTTATTTTGTTATAAGTTAGTAAATTCAAAGCCCTACAGTATATATCTTCCGTCGATAGGATGTGACTTGCTCAGACATTTGTTTCATAGGATGCTAGTCCTATTCTTATTACCGTAGATATATGAAGCATAGTATTTTTTCTCACTTTGCATCCTCTAAGCCAGTGGCTTTCAACCTTTTCAGACTACTGTACCCCTTTCAGGAGTCTGATTTTCTTGCGTACCCCCAAGTTACACCTTATTTAAAAACTACTTGCTTACAAAATCAGTCATAAAAATACAAAAGTGTCACAGCACACTATTACTGAAAAATTGCTTACTTTCTCATTTTTACCATAATCCTAAAGTAAATCAATTGGAATATAAATATTGTACTAACATTTCAGTATATAGTATATAGAGCAGTATAAAAAGTCACTGTATGAAATTTTAGTTTGTACTGACTTCGCTAGTGATTTTTATGTAGCCTGTTGAAAAACTAGGGAAATATCTAGATGAGTTAATGTGCCCTACCCTGGTTGAGAACCACTGCTCTAAGCTGGTAGTGAATCCTGATGCAACTTGCGATACAGCTGGTGGAGGTACTAATCAGCAATTTATCTTGTAAGGGGAAGGCAGGGAAGAAGCCTCCTCTAAACTTTTTCTGTGGCTCAGAATGTTTAGTAACTTCCTAGATATAAAGCATATTTCTCCCATTTCTCCATCCCTTTTTGTATACTTTTTCTGCAGTTTGCTATATATCTGGGCAAAACTCCCATTGACTTCAAGGGAGGAGGATCCAATTCTATATTACGACATGCTGTTTACCCACTGCTTTGAGAGATTTGCACGCCTTCCCTTCTCCAGGAAACTGAAAAACAAAGCACTGATGCTAATGTAGAACTTTCTCCCTACTATTCCCTACTCCAGATTCAATAGTGTTGTCTCTCTACTTGTTGATTTACATACTGCTAGTTCTCTATGTACTGTTTGGGCCAAATCCTGTACTCCTTTCTTAGGTAAAACTCCCTCAGGTAAAAGTCAATGGAGATTTTTGCCTGAGTAAAGACTAAGGTTTGTGAGTTTTGTCAGTTCGGCTGTAGAACAAACAAAACAAAACAAAACATTTTGCTCTAGAAGAGGCTTGTGAACTACAATTATTTTAGATGTATTAATTAGCTTAGAATACTTAGTGATCGATTATGAAACTAATAGAAATTACATGTGCCTTCGAAACTGACTTGGGTGATCGGATAAAGAAATATTTTCTGAGGCTGAAGGTTTTAAGGTAATTATTTGAAACCCACACACTTTAATTCTCTATCAACTTAATAAGAAAATGTTCTATCAGCTGTAGAACCATACCGAAATTTGGTAGTAGAATAATGAGCAGAAAATTTAAAGTCCAGCTAATATTCCTACATGGAAATAAGTCTCTCTCTCTCTCTCTCTCTCTGCATAGGCTTTTGAAAAGTCCCTGACTTCTCACCACAGGCCATATCACCTTACTCACTTGAGTAGGTTAATGTAACTAGTGCTATTTGGCTGCCACTTGGCCTTGCTGCTGTCTATGTGTTTGGATAAGTGTGTGCTATAGAGAGCCCAACCGTGCATTCCTCAAAGCACCCAAAACACCCATGGTAGTCATGTGAGAGTTTTGAGTGTATAAGGATTGCTGGAGTGGGTCTGTGCTGGTTGGCAGGGAGATGCAGTAGGAATGAGAAGATGGGACAAAAAAGTAACCCTTTCAGAACGAAACTTGAGCATTGCAAAATGGCTCTTTGCTGATATTATTGCAGTGCTGGCAGCAGTTAGAAGGAGCTGTCAGGAAAGCTAGGCCAGGTCAGTCTATCATTTTGTTTCACAGACAGTCTTGGTTGCAAAATGTATTGAAATCATTATGGGGAGGGGAGGAAGACATGGAAAAGAAAAGAAAGATACAATCAGGCTGTTTTGGCTGACCTCATGGTGCATCATTCAGATTCTATGAACATTCAAACCAATCTCTCTCTCCTCCCCACCCCCTTTCCCTCTTTCTTCTTGTCCATGTAAAGCAGAGGCTGACCATGTGGAAACGGTGCTTGCCGACGAAGATGAGAGCCTGGCAATAGCGGAGCCGGGTGGCATCAGCATCGCCCCAGGTGGGACAGACCCCGATTTGTTAACCTGTGGACAGTGTCAGATGAACTTCCCCCTGGGAGACATCTTGGTTTTTATAGAGCACAAGAAGAAACAGTGCAATGGCACTGGTGGTGTCTGCTATGAAAAGAGCCTGGATAAGAGCAGCCCTCCCCCCTCCTCCCGCTCCGAGCTCAGGAAAGTGTCAGAGCCAGTGGAAATCGGGATCCAAGTCACACCCGATGAAGAAGACCGTCTTCTCACGCCTACAAAAGGAATTTGCCCCAAGCAGGAGAACATTGCAGGTACAGCATGTTTTACACTCAATCAACTACCTAGGTAATCTTTTAAAGCAAGCCCTCTAGAAAGTGCTATGAAACGAAGTCTTCAATAGCAGGTCTTTATAGAGCCATTTGCCTGGAGCAACCTCACTAGTCAGGGCTGCAGAAATAATATTGACCAATTTTTTAATATGGCAATACCTTTCTGTGAAGGGCCAGCTGTCAGTGAGACACGACTGTTTTCAGTGTTTGAAGTTGGTCTTCTGGGATAGCTGTAGGTACAGCCTGTACACACAAATAAAGTTCAAGGCCCAGGGTCAGAGAGGCCATTTTGGTGGTGTCTTCCCCAAGTCGGAAGGCAAATAGTTCCGCTGGCCCAGAAAGACAACAGAACATTACACACTCGGGACATTCATCCCAGTGCAGAGGCCTTATGCAACACTTAAAGCCTGCGGAAAGGGCCAAATCCCGATGCCATTGAAATCATTGGCAATATTCCCATTGATTTTAATGGCAGGAGGATTTGGTCCTGAGGAATAAAGTGGGGCTTACCTGGTGTATAGGGCCTTCCTCACTCCCTCTGCAATGGGGTGAATTTCAGTCTCATTATCCAAATGACATGTTGATGGGGCTGTGTTTACCGATGCCCTGTAAATCCTGGATTTTCATAGATTTAGGCAGAAAGGAAGGGAGCTATTCAAAAGCATGCCCCAAAAGGAGTTTTTGAAAGTAGAGACAAGCAGGCGCTGGCCTGGGAGAGCAGATTACAGGCATTTTCTTTTCTAAAATGCTTGGATTTCTTGGAGAAATTGGATGGGTAGGTTAAAGCTGCCCCAAGGCCAGCACTTATTCAGCAGATCACCCAGTGGTCTCACTGACAGGACATTACAGGGGACTGTATCCACCTGGATGAGCTGTTCAGAAACCTTTTCTGCAGCGTACACGCCACGGAAAAGCTTTTCTATATCATCAAGTATATAGTGCGTTCCTTTGCTCTGCACCTATGCTTTCCTCGGTTACTAAGCACACACTGCTTATGACAGTTATGTGACTTGCTCTCTCTCTTAGTTTGCGGGTTTCCTGTACTATCAGAGCATGGGATCTTGAGTCAAACTTGTCTTCTTGGTGGAGTCCACTTTCTACATCCAGTCCCGAAGAGCAACAGGATGTAGTTATTGCTTTCAGTATGCTGGCTTCCATAGGAATTGCCATACTGGATCAGATCCGCTGGCCCAGTATCCCTTCTCTGCTAGTGACCACAGCGCAACCCCAGTGGTCAGTGAGTATTACGTGTCCTCAGCGGGGCTTGAGCGACAGAAAATGTGTGTCGGTTACATCCGCTAGATATAGCGGTTGTCTGTTTAGTTTGAGCTACAAAGACTTATGCTGTTAGCAGTGGAGGCTGCTGGTTCAAGCCCTAGTGTCTGCTGTTACATAAGTGGGATTTGAACTAGTGTGGGCATCAGATGCTCCAGATGAGCTTCCTCTGTTGAGAGGAAGTATGTAACCACTGCTGGTATGTGCTATGCCGCCCGCCCTGTGATAGCTGCTATCTTGGCTGACACTGGAGAGCGAATCGGGGAACCTCCAAAGCTAAACACATGAGTCTCTATCAGATGATCTGAAGAGCCAGGCTCTGTAGCTAGGCACTGTAACAGACACACGTCTTCCCCTCAATTAATGCACTTAGCCCCCAAGTTAGATCTTGAGCAGGTACTTTTCTGTCTTTCCCATTGGAATGTGATTAGTCAGAACATGCTCTCACCCCATTTCCTCACAAGAGTGCATTAGCTTTTGAAGTGGAGCATGTGAAGGTGGCAGCTTTTTGGGCATCAGAAGTGGCAGCATCATGAGCAGGTTGCACTATGGTAGTTCTCCCACCCGTTTCCCATGATTCCAAGAGGGCCTTGTGAATGCATTTCCTGGCAGATAGGGCTTCTTTGTGGTTTAATACCTTATTAAAGGGCCAGATCCCATTGAAATCAGTCGATTCAGGCATTGACTTTGATGGGAGCAAGAGAGAGCTCAAAGTGTGCACTTGGCACCTGATTTTGCAGCCACTGAACCCATATTGCAAGGTGCTGAGCACTCTCAACAACCATCGACCTCCGTGGGAGTTGAAGGCATTTGGCACCTTGGAGGAGGTGCATAGTGCCTGACAGGATTGGGCCTAGAGTCTTTTCTGACGTTGCCAAACGTCATGCCCGAATGTAATCCATAGTTAAAACACACCGTTGGCCAATCCCAGACCAGAACCTAGTGCACCATTTCATGATGCTTTGGCTATTCTTTGGGCCAGACTCAGGGCAGCCAGGGCACTGCCACATCGAAGATTTGCAGAGGGAAAAAATGCTCACACATAAGTAAAAGGAATAATAAAAAAAAAAGAAGCAAGCCAATCCAGAGCTCCTTATCTCTTTCACACTAACCTGAAGATCAAATGGAAATGTGTATGGGATATTCTGAATTTACAAAAATAAAAGGGGTTTATAGATTGATTGGGATTTTCTCTGCACTGCACTCAGATAGGGACTCACCACTAAATACTGCAGTAATAATGCTTTCTCAATTAGGAACTGAACTCTCAGATAAAAAGGTGGTGTCCTTCTATTTTTTTTAATAGCAGAGGATAGTTTTCAGTGGTAGGATAAAAGCCTCACATTACAGCCATGGAGGGTAGCCATGAAAAACCCACAGAAGTCATTCACTGGAAAGGCTTTAGTGGGATATACCAGGACCCTTATTTATATTTCAATAGAAAGGCTTTCTGCATTAGCCAAGAAAATCAGAATCTGCATTTAACATTAAAGGTATTTCCCAGTGAGAGGCTGTAGAGCATTGTTGTTAGATTTGTTAAAAAAAGAGGCTAAATACGATTTCATAAAAGGGAAACTTAATCTCTAAGGCAGCTTTCCCCTACCCCAGCCCCCTCCCTTTAGTTTTTTTTTTATTTTTTTGGTAATAATGCAGCAGCCTACAGTATTTTTACTTTATATGTGACGAAAGATATTCTTAGCCCTTCTGCACTGTGACAGGAAGAATGGATTTTTTTATTCCACCAAGAAATATGTAAAATAATCCCTTAGAAGTATGGGGAGATATGTTTGTTCAAAGCATTTAAAATGCTATTTTAATCAAAGGCACAAAACACTCTACATGCTGTGTCAGCTAAAGGAGACCATTACATTTTAACAGCAAATCATGCTCCTTTTTTTCCCCTCTTAACCAACCCCCCTCCACACACACTTTGAAACAAACTTTTTTTTTTATTAAATAAAAAGGAAAAGATTAAAGAATAAAAACTTCAGTGGCTCAAATGTATAAAGTAATTTATTATGGCGGAAGCATTAATTATTTTAGCTTAATTGAATTCTGAGGACTGCAGTAGTTGCATTTTTGTAGACAAGCTCTGTTTATTATTTCTTTGTGTAGATTAACAGTAAAGGAAACATAGATAACTTTCAGTTATTTATTGTAAAATAAACGTGTCAATTCATGTGTAAAGCAAGCTGTTCAAAGATAATTGAGTCTTTATATTTGAAGAGAGAAACCAGAAATCACCCACTCGCCACTCCGGCTCCCTGAAATATGCTGCCACCGCTGCTGCCCTCAAATAGGTTTCAGCTACTCTCCTTGATCCCGTGTTGTTTTCGTAGACCTTCTTGTTCAGTCGAAATGATTTGTGTGGCCTTCTGCTGCGTGACTTAAGCTGCACGACATTACAGCCCTCCGTGGCTGAGCGTAGCCAAGGTAAGTCAAGCACCGAGCTTGGCTGAGCCACAGAACCCTCTTACTCTCTGCGTGCGTGGGTGTTTCCTCCGGAGTGCCGGGAGGCAGCACATTGTAAAACTTTAATTCCAATTCAGGGTGCTCCGTAGTTGTGAGATTTTTTCTTTTTTGGAATGGTTGGGTTACAAGGTTCCATATTGCAAATTTCCAGCTGGATTCACGGCCTCAACCTGCCGAAGCCCTGAATTTTGTTCTTTAACATTCCATGATTTAGCCAAGTTCTTCTTTCTTTGATAGACCGATGGATAGCTTTCTTTCGTTCTTCCTTTCTTCACAGCCTTCATCTGAAGCCAGGTGTGACTCCACTTAATATGCTCAATGAATCCTACTTGACCACATCACTGGTGGCTTTACAGTACTTGCATAGCTAACAAGAGACAAGTGGATCCTGAGGATCTGCAGGAGAGTGTGTGTGTGTGTGCATGTGTGTGTGTGTGTGTGTGTATAACACAAATCCAGAACTTTTGGACTGCTGTAACTTTGTCTCTTGAATCAGGATTAGATTTTAAAGACCTTTTGATATTGAAGTCTGTAGTGTTCTCTTAACTTGTAATTTGCTAGGCCGAACTTTGTTTGATCAAAGAGCTTTCTTTTTGTTATCACGAAAGCTGTCTATAAGATATGCTTTTGAATGTTACATGGCCAATGTAAAGACATGACTTGACTACAGGCGGTTTATTCTGCAAAAAAAAATTTTATTTTAAACTGGCTAACCTGTTTGGAAACCCGTTCTCGCTCTCCTGCAGAAAGCACTGTATTAACAGATGCTTCAGATTGTTCCACAACAAAATGAAGCCAGGCCAGTGAATTAGCTAGGAGTTGTCAATCACTGCATGTATTTTATAAATGTCAGTTGTTTTAGAAGAAGTACGAGAAATACAGTGGTGTTTTGTAGCTTGTCTTGCCTTCCTTGGATAGGTTCTGTGGTCTTTGTCTCTAGTTCACAAGTGTAGACCAGGAGCCATACATTTCCAAGCAGGGTGTCCAAAACAACAGCAGAAATTCATTAGGACAGTGGAGTTAATTTCTGCAAAGACAGTGCTGGGAGTAGGAGTTAATTTGAATTCCTTGTCCATCCAGGTGAGGCTACCAGTACTGGGTTCCATCCATTATGGACTCGAACTAGATGTGTAAGGTGAAAAAAAACCAAAACCCTCCCTGTCAAATGTGGGATTTAACTGCAACCCCTGCTCCATGAATGTGCATTTCAGGCTTTTAAATGGTAAAACTGCCTG